GAAAGGCACTGGAAAACACACTCTCACAGGGAGAAGACAACATAGAAGTGAAGAGTTCAGGGGAAAAAAAAAAATTAAGCCCAATGCTTTTTAAATAGCCAAGAGGCAGTAACAGCATTCCAGGTATAAAGCAGTCACATCAGGGATTACTCCTCTGCGCAGTTGGTCAGCGTGTGCCTGTTCCTGGGGCTTAGTTGGATGGGAGGGTCCTTCTCTGTCCATCTTCTGAGCTGCAATTCCAGAATGATTCCCACCAGCTCACTAGGCACAAACATGCCACTTCAAACTGTAAACACAGAAAGTTTCTGTACTTGGGATAACTCTCCAGTTTAAAGATGTACAGGAATTTTTGTGGATGAACATAAACCCCCTCACCTTCCTCCCGGCCTCCACGCTCCACGAAGCTCAGTTGCATGCTTTACCCAGGAAATTCGGTCTGCTTTAATACAAAACACTTGACCACAATTTCAACGGATGCAAGAACTGCCTACCCTGAAAAAGGAGCAGTGTCATCCTCCCAGCAGTTGGGAAATAGCAATCCTACGCAATCACTGCCAGACTCTCCCAGCACTTCCAGAGCCTCACAGCAATAGCTCCGCACAGCTCAGGGGTGCTGCCTTGCAGGACAGAGATGACCCTGGTGGAGGGTTGTTGACTGACTTAGGCAGGCAGGATAGGGAGCTCCTTAGTCCTCCTCCCACAGCTCTGGTTTAAGGGGTGTGGAATGGCTTAATTATGCCCCTCAAGGCAGGAAGAAGTCACTTGTCTTTAAATACCCAGACTTTTATTGAGTTAACAAGTTTTAACAAGGTCAAGGCTTGAACGGTAAACTCTTACCCAAAGGGGAATTTGCTGTTTCCCCTCTTGCAATTCATTAGTGTCCCCCATGGTTTATTTCTGAGCCCTGGGTTAAAGTTATAAACTTTACAGACAGAGAAAAATCAAGAAAAAAAATTTAAGTCAGATGGGGTACATAAACCTTCACTTTCTTCACCCTGTCACAATGTCCCAGAGAAGCACCTGGCACCTGAAGACAACACCCACACACACCCCCACCTTGGAGGGGGCTGCAGGCAGGGCACCTTCATCTCCCGCCCCCTCCTGCCCAGCATAGGGGTGAGCTCTGGGAAACCCTCTCAGTTCAAATCACTGTGGCCTCTGCACTGAAAACAGCTGCAGAACAGCTGGCTGGGAACCAAACAACAGGCACGGGCCACCAGAGCCAACCCCTTCTCCCCACATCTCCTGTGGCACGGCTGGTTGCCGATGAGTAGGAAACAAGCACGAAAATATTGCAGGCAGATGCCAGAGGTAAGGAAATGAATGCTGAACTGTTTGACAACATGGAAAGAGCAATATTAATTGCAGCCTTCCCCAAAACCACCTCCCTACTCCCCAGCCCGAGCCTGAAAAAGGCTTCCCAGTTTTGCTTTTACATCAGCCACCCACAGGGCAGGACCATTCCCACGTCCCCGTGTGCTCATTTGCATCGTCAGCCTCACCACAACATTTCCAAGTCCTGCAAGCAGAGACTGCCAAGGAAAAGCACAGCATTACCCTTCAAACGTACACCAGTCACCAACATCATTTAACCACATGAGCAGAAAGTCCCTTGGTAGGCAGGAGCAGGGACAGATGAAAAGTCAGCCCTTGCCAGATTTTTCCTACACGCTACAGCCCCGTGAGAAGGGCAGAGCATCAGCAAATACATTGCCCAACCTGCACTTGAGGGGTTTTACTCATCGTCCACTTGAACATCACTCAGCAGCAGTTACTGACCTGAGAAGTGACATCGATGGCACAGAAAGCAGTTTTAATTTCTCTGAGCAGGAATTCGTACTGGTTTCACTGAATGTGCTTTTAAATCAGGTCTGCTTAAACTGGAGCCGGTTTCCTGCTGCGATTCAGATATCCCATTACACAGCCCATCCCAGCTGCCAGCTCTGTACAGCTCAAGCAAATGGAAAGTTGAGCAGTTGATGGAAAAAAATGCTTTTGTACACGGACAAAGAGGCCATATTTAAAAAAAAAGAAGTCCCCTATAACCTTGTGTACAGAATTTACCTTTAGTTTCTGGTACTTGGTTAAATAAAGGTAAAGCCAGCTTGGATGGGAGGTTGAGAAATCTGATCTAGTGAAAAGTCTGGGGGGCAGGGGGTTGGAACTGGATGATCTTTAAGGTTCTTTCCAACCCAAAACATTCCATGATTCTAGGAGAACTCAGGAAAACAGCACAGACACAGTGCAGGATGTGAGCTGAGCCTGCACCTCTTCTGCATCAGAGCAACCTTCCCCCTCTCCCAGTCCAGCCCAGCCTCTTCGACTAAATTCCACTCTGGCATCCCATGCCTCCACCCTCCTCCCTCTACGCTTTTTAGCTCCCTCAGCAAAGAGCTCTGTCAGAGCTCCCAAGGATGGTGCCCGCAGGCACTGGGAGCAGGAGCGAGGGAGGAGACTGTTCTTCTGTGCCTTAAACAGACCAAGAACAATCTGTAACAAGGTACTTAGTACTTCAACACGTGCAAGGCCTAAAATATAATTTCTGTCAACCTAATCGGCATTACAGGTCCACAATGTATTTTATTAGCTAGATACTAAAGGAGCTACAATACATCAGGTCCCATTTTAGAAGTTACAAATAGTTTATAAAGGCTTAATCAATCATTAAATAGGTGTTTGAATAAATGGTTGAATCAATCATTATAAGCCATAACTCTCTAAGTACGTTATTGGACTTTGTAATAATCTGCAATATCTCCAGCTGAGGTTCTCACACCTACCTGTACGACCCCATCATGTTACAGACCTGAAGAACAGAACACTCCATCTATCATTTCTTAACTGTTGGTACGTAGGCTCTAATGCAAATATAGGCCATATATTGTCACACTCCATGTAGGTGATGTTAAAAATACAGATGAAACATTGTGGAGCACTAAAAAGTGGTCCGTTGGGATGGCACTGGAGAATATTTAATAAAGGCAAAAGCTGCAGGCTAATTTCCCCCAGGAATTCCCATTTAGAGCCTGTCGCAGCGAGAATCCATCACAGACAGCACTGATTCACCCACATCAGAGAGAAAAAAACACCTCTTCTTCCTTCCCCACTGCCAGCACCAGGATATCACCTTTGGTATGGGAAGGAGCATCTCTGCTGCTTCACAGTGCTGGAAACACTTCCCAGCTGCAGTGAGCACACCAGGACAGCCTCACTCACTCCCCAGGCTGCAAACCTGAGTGTGACCAGCCACCTCTAAGGGCTGTGAACATCCCACCAGAGGTGAGCTTCCAGAGGGGAGAGAGAGAGTGAGAGAGAGAGATCATCCCTCTGCTTGGATGCTTGTTCAGCTTGGACAAAGCCCCTGAGCAGCCTGAGGCTGTATCCAGCACCAGTTGCTCCCAGCTTGGAGCAACTGGGACCTCAGGAACTCAGATGGAGCTCATGACACTAAGGTATTTAACATAGCATTTCTCAGGGAATGGGGCTAGGGGTTAACAAGCTACCAAGTGCCCTCCCACCATCTCCAGCAAGGAGAAACTAAATGTCTCGACTGAGCTCAGCCTGGGGCTGCTACGTGCCTGGGAGGGATAGGAGGAGAAAGGGCCAGCTGAGCAGAAAGGGAAATATCTCCTCAATTCCAACAAGACAAGGTCCCTGCCAAGAAATGCACCACCGGTTCCTCATTTGCTTTACTGAGAAAAGTTAAAAACAAGAGCACTGAGGCACACAGCTGGAGCAGATGTTTTTCATTCTTCACTGTTCACAAGCAGCAGCTCTTCCCCTCCTCCTCACCCACCTACCCTCTCTGCTGGCATCCAGCAGTAGGAGCATGATGGAGAGGGATGCAGCAGAGCCCTTCCCCAGTGCCAGAGCCATCCCTTGGAGCTCCCACCGCAGCCTCTCTCATGAACCTTCCTGAGGGTGTGATCAAGCTCTTCTGCTTGATCCTCCCGTCATTCATGACAGGCAACCTTTGTAAATGCTGCTCAGCAATCCCAAAGAGCAAGCCAGGCTGCAAGAGATGCAGGGACATCTGTTTAACGCATAGACTGATGCATTAAAGTCACCCACCCCCTGCGGTATCGCTGTTCTCTTAGGCACACCAACCCAAAGGTTAGTTATCAGAAGGTATTTAGATTTCAAAGTAAAACTGCTAAACTTTAAACCACTTAAGGTCTCTATCACAGCCATGTGTGTGAAGTGGAGAAGGGAAAAGCATCCTGTCCCGACAGGTTAAAAAGATTCCAGGTCACTGTTCCTTAGGCGGTGAGAGCTACTCAGCTGGATAAGATCAGCCACTAAGCAGGATTACAAATTTATCTTCCCTCGGTAGTGTGATCTTCCACTAATAATCATGTAATGAAAAATAATACAGAAAATGTTTTAAGAATTGCACTCTGAGTCACTAGCAAGGCACAAAATGCTCCCACAGCAAAAGGCAAAATTTGGCACAGAGATGGAAAACAAAAGACCACGGTCCCGGTGTCAACAGCAGCATGGGAAAACGATTGGCAGTGCTGAGACCCTGCAAATCAAACCAGTGGGGCTCGATGAGAAGCATCACCAGTTGACTCACCCCAAGAAGCTGGGATTTGGTGTTCTGATGGTACCTTTCTGTACCTGTAACTTAGGTCTGGGCAGTGCTTTTCTGCCCCAGGGCAGTAAAAATCAACACAGGCACCAGCTAAGACATCCAACCTCTTCTGAGAATTAAGGTGATTTTTATATTCTCACTCCCAGCCCCAGTCACACACTGCCTTGGCCCAGCATTGCCTTCACTCAGCACAGAGCAGAGGCAGCTCAAGCAGCAGCACTGGTCAACAACTGCCCTACAATGCCCAGGGTGGCACATCCCGCTTTCCCATCACCATTTGCACAGATATTTCAATCTCACCACACTAATCACCGCACCAGGGAACAGTGGGCTACTCCATCAATGACATCATTGGCAGATTTGATTACTGTGTTGATTACATCACCACCCACAAGAGATTCTGCAGCTTTCCAAATGGCACCAGCAGCTTCTAAATAGCTTAGATGGAGGAAGCCATGAAGGACGTATATATTTCAGAAGTCTCAGGCTGTAAGTTTGATGGAAGAACTTTCAACACTATCTTTTGGAAATATCAGTACACGGACAAAGTATTTTCACGTGCTGTTGCTAGTGTTAGTGAGCCAGGACGTGGTCAGGAAAGTATTTTTGGTTCCTGAAAAAGTCACACACACAGAGCAAGTGAAGGACTCTGTGACACAGCGGCCAAAACAGAGACTTTGCACGAGCACAACCAAGAAGAACGTCATCACTGGTCACGGGGCAACAGACAACCCAAGATTTGCCAAGTGCATAGTAAGGAATGTGTGTGTGTGCTGAACCATCTCCCTCCAGGGTGGGAAAAATACTTCTAAAAGCCTATTTAAATGACTCTCAGCAGAAGATAACAGAGGTTAGTAACAGGAACTCGAATGAGAACCAAGCTCTCATCACAGAATCTGGCACTATGTGTCTGGGAACGTGAGAAGGACAGTGTTTTGCTGTCCCCATGCCACACACCAACATTAGCTCTGTCACGGGTTGCTGCTGCTTGCTCAGCCTTCCCTCCTCTGCGTGGACTATTTGCAGCAACAGCATTAAAGCAACCATCAAGCAGATGCTTAAAAAATGCAGAATGACGTTCAAATGACATCTATCCATAAATCAGCCCAAACCACAAACATCTGAAGAAGATTTTCACTTAATCCAATTTACTGTAATCTCTCTCTTTAGTTAAAATGACAGAAACGTCAAAATGGGACTTTACTCCTCTGTCAAAGCATCTCATGGTGAAAAAGGAAAATAAGCAGGCTCTCACATGCAGCACCACTTATTAGGTTAGAAATGTCAAAACTGTACTTTGATTCTCACTATTAGCAGTCACATCCACATGCTGTGCCCTTCTGTTTCACTTCATTTCCCCCAAAAGCGAGCACAGAGCATATGCTCCATGCCAAGCATCATCCAGGCAAAACCACAAGTTTCCCATTTTTGTTCCTGATGACCCTGCGCTCATCTCTGTCTGGGGGCACACAGACCCACTCAGATCACACATAAGCAGTCTTATTTACCATCAGAGCTCTCAGGAGGAATGTGTTCTGCTGCTTCCAAAAACTACAACAACAATCCAAGCCTGCTCAACAGACCAACCTCAAATTGCTTTTCCCCATCTCTCCCCATTAATTAGCAAATGGGGTAATTGACTCTCTGCCCGGGAGTTAAGCACGTGTGTGTCCGCATATGTATTTCCATGTGTGAGAGTGTGTATCGTTTTCCCCAGTGGTCACAAAAATTAAGCCATTATCCAAGAGTCCAGGAAAGTGAAAGAAAAATACCTACTGTCAGGAGTGGGGTCTTCATGCATTATTTAACGAGAACTCTGTTGGCAAAACTGGTGTTGTTTTTATATAAAAGCTAATAGAAATTGTACCTCCAGGTGTCAAAACACTGATGGTAATTCCTGCTGCCTCAGACATCTTGATGTTTCAATTTTAGCAGTATGAGGAGCCTGCAGGGAATCCAAGAGGGTAAAGTGCTTGTAACTCAAAGAGAAGCAGAGAGAAGGAGAGCCTTTTTATTTCTTTATAAAGGGCTCAGGGGAACAGTTCTACTCACTGGAATTATCAGATCTGGTTCCCCTGCTCCTTCCCTTCCTTGAAAGAGGAAGGAGCAAGATAGGCTAACAAGGAGTGATTGTATTGTGTCGACAGGGGAAAAAAAAAAAATCCACGAGGCTGCAAAGGAGAAGAAAAAAAAACCCAAAGAAGTGGTGAACAGAAGATACTGTTGGGGTGCAGCAGCACAGGAGCAGCTGGTAGTAACGGGACGCTTCAATGATTTCCACAGAACAGGTCACAGGGAGGAGGGCACAGCCCTCCAAATCTGCTCTCCTGGGCTGCAACCTGTAGGAAAGCCCCAAGGGTACCTCATGGTCCCGGCGCTCCCTTTTCCACCACGGGATGGTGGGGGGGGGACAGACAAGAAGAAAACAATAGCTCAGGAATCCACATGCAGCTCAGCATGGCGTTCAAGGGAAAAGAAAAACAACTTCTCCAGGCAGCCACTCAGCCAGGGACACAAAGGTCTTGGAGAGATCCTTCATTGGGTCATGAACTTTCGCAACCCCATTGCAAAAACAGCACTGAGGAAATTCCCGAGGAAAAGTAAATGGACACAAGAGCAAGCTCAGATGAGGAGTGCCAGGACTGCTGCCGATCACATTTCACCAAAGCACATGCCCAGCTTCCTTCCACCTGGCAGCCCACCAAGCTGCACGACCACCCCCTGGACCTGCCTCCAAAACACTCCAGGTCCTGCTGTGCCCTGTACCTGGACCACTGCAAGGACCGGGCAGTGACCAGGGTGCTCCCCTCCCACCCGGATCTTCATCCTACAGGGTTCTCCCTGACAGCTGTACCAGGCCCCCTCCAGCCCAGGAATCACTTACAGCTCACTAACATTTCAGGGACGGGCAGTCATTGCTCCCATCAGCTCCGGGAGAGCCATTTGTTGCCTCCTTGCTCCTCCAGCCATGTCTCACAGTGCGTGGTATAAACTTTGAGAGGCAATGACCTCATCGGAGCTGGGAAGAGGGAGGCGGGGAAATTGGCTACTTGCCACCTTCTCATTTTTCACATAAGAAAAATAATTTATGAGTGAAAGCCCATTTTATTCATCTGAAAAATAATAATTAAAAAAAAAAATCCCATTGGTAGCAGCAGGCCTGCCTTGGAATGCATTGCTTCTATAGCAGCTCCTGGAGCAGCATCTACCTGAGGTGGTTCAGAGTGAAGCCCCCAGCACACTTTGTGCCCCCTGCCTCCAAGGCACAGACCCCCAGCACCCCCAAACACCCTGCTGCTCCACTGACTACTCAGGAAACAACAGTGCAAGCATCCCTCGTCTCCATTAAGGGTGGCTTCCGCTGTAGGCGCGGGGAGGGACTTCCAGCTCTAATTTGTAACTCCTCCAAAAGGGCAATTAAGCAGCCAAACCGTAGCTTCAACTGGGATTTCGGCTCAGCTCTCTGGGATGAGGCCATCAGACAGGGCTCTGCAGCGAGCAGTAACTCCAAGGCATGTCATTAATTTTGCCCAGACATGTATCACACCCCATTTGAGAACGCACACGGAGCATGTGTGCGGCGCTCCGCAGACGCAGGATACTCGGATCCTGCATACTCACACATTTTATATACTCGTATTACTTATGTTATAGATTCACACATGCATTACTCATAGCTCTTAAGAACAGAACATACAGTTCATCTTGGCATGAATCCCAGAGAAAGACAAAAAAAAAAAAAAAAAGAAAAACAACCCCGCAGTAACAAATCCAACTCGCATCGAGTCCAACAGCATCTGTGGTAGGAGTTTGAGCAGTATTATAGATCATTAAATGACTGCATTATTTCGCGTAACACACCCATGCATCTCTGCTAACACCAGTCAAACCTGCTGTTTCAAGGAATATTTCCCCACTTAAAGTGTGTCACCACTCTCCCAAGTTTTTGCCCGTAACTGTGGGAAACTGTGGAAAAAGCAGTTTATTTCCACAGTGTGCATTTAACAAGCCCTTGTGTACACCAGTGCCACTGAGGCACCCCTGTGTTTCAAGATAGGGCCCAAACATGTTCATATGGGACTGCAGAAGTGCAGTATCTGAGTGAGTCAAAGTGCTGGCCAACACCAGAGTCCACTCTCTGGAGCAGCCTGGCACAGCAGCAGGGATATTTCGACTGTACACACCATACAACAGTGGCAAGAAGGTAGATTAGCATGGACTAAGAATGTAACTCCTCAGTAGGACACTGTGCAATGAAAGAAAACCAAACAAAAAATTAAAAATAAAAAAAAAATCACAGCATACTGCAGCTTCTGTACACCTCTGTAACCTTCAAGGCAAGTGTGCAGCATAGCAAAGCATTCTTTTCCTATCCCCTCCAAAAATAGGCTTCATCCACTCTTCAGAGCTTTACACCCAATGTCAAAGAGATTTAAAAAGTCACAGTTGCAGGATTCTCATTTACTGAAGGGAGCCTGAGCATGACAATGCATGGCACAGTTCACCCCAGCTCTGATGGCTCAGGGGCTCTGATGCTGCCCCAGCACAGCCCTCCCATCCCACCCACAGCATCCCCCTCCTCGTTGCCACTTTGCAGCCCAGAACATGCCCCATCCCACCATGGCTGCTGGGATTCCCACTGCACCTGAAGGATCCACCCCGCAACTACAGGACCACGACCCTCAGAAGCAACAAAACCACACGTCCTCAAAGTTCTGCGAGCAGAGTTCACCACCAATAACTCCCTTTATGCCACAGCCAGCACCAAAACAGCAGCTGTGAACTCCCACTGGCCTGACCGAAGTCAAAACACACCGCGCTGCTTTTCAGGCAAACCCAAATTACAGCATCATCTGCTGACTGCTCCCGGGATGAACAAGCCCACATTAATTACAGGATAAACTTCGCAATTCACCTCTCAAAAGCACAAAACATCAGCCAAACTGCTTTGATCCCACGGACAAAACCCTCTCCAGCCGACAGAGCAACGCGGAAGACCAAGATATCCAGGGGAAAAAAAAAAAAAAAAAATTCCAAACTTTTTCTCTCCTTTCTCCTTGGTGCTACCCTCCCCCCAAAACTACACGCTCCACGCCAAGGAGGGCTGGAGGGAAAAAAAAATCACCTTAGAAAGCAGCAGGGGCTCGCAAAACCTTGTGCTTCACCTCCGCCGGCAAGCAGCTGGACACCTCCGGGCAACTGCAGGAGTGTGTGCTCAGCCTCCAGCTCTGAACACTGCTTCTGTGTCGCCGGGCCAAGTCTCAGTTTTTCAAAGCAACTTTTTTCTGCTGTGGCCTAGTTTAGCTCTCCACACAAAATGCCACCAAAACAAAAGCCGCCCAGCCAGCCCGGGGAGAGAAGCAGGGGGTACTTACCTAGCAGCATCCCTGCATCACCTCCTGCATCTTTAGCAGCCACCCTCTTAACTTCTAAATAAATAAATAAAGCGAGGCCACACAGCCTTAAAACCAAGCTGGAAATGAAATGGAAAGCCTGTAATTATTTCTCAATGCTCCTGCCAGTCTCAGCCTATAAACACAGTGGATTACATAAGTCCACCCCTCCTGTTTTGAAGCCAAAAGTATGAGCTTTTCCTCCAGCTCTGGCAGCAAGTAATAATTCCTCGTCGGCATGGCAACGCTGGCTGGCTTCCAGCAGACAATGGGCGAGTTGAAATACTGCTACGGCCTTTTTATAGCTTAGCTCTGAAAAACCTCTAAAATATTAGCTATCTGATGGCTAACCCAACTTGACAACCTCTCCTCCTTTAACCGTTTCCTTCCTGCGCCGCCGCCCGGCGCTGCCCAGATGAACGGCCGGGGTCACCGGGCAGTGGCGCACGGGATGCTCCTCTTCCCGGGGACAGCACACAGGAACCGTTTCCCATCTAGTGGATTTGTTGATTTGTCACAGGCACAGCATCTGCAGTAACTGCCACAACCCCATCTAGGCTTTCCCGTGTTTATTTCAGTCTGTTACTCAGCAGGTATGTTTGCTCTGCTTGCTGCCTCCAGCAAGCTGCGCGCGAGGTTCTCCTCCAGCTCGCCCGGCCTGGGAGAAAACAGACCACAAAACAACACTTGTGCATGTGATTGTCACTGCCCTCCCCGTGCGAGCCGTGAGGAGGCTGGCAGGGCTCCGGACGCGATTTGCAGAGCTGCAGGGAAGCAAGATCCTTTACAACTCGTCTCTCAGCAAATCTGGGAGAACTTGTCCTGGAGAACCAGCTGCACTCGAGATACCCTGTGGCAGTGTAGGGCAACCTGCTCATACACAGTTTGGGCTTATTCTGCAGCTGAATGAGTTAAAAACATTAACACACTCTGGCAAGACTGAGAAACAGCAGAGAAACTCAGAGGAGGAGAAGACACTCAAGACATCATTAAAGTCAGCGGTGTAGGAAGACTGATGAAGTTAAGGAGCCACATGACTGAGTTTCAACCAAATCCTACCGAAATGAGCAGCTAACACACACACAGCAGCTCCCAAGATCACATTAAGTTAATATTTACCGTGACTACGCACACGGTCTGCCCAGGATGACCCCACTATCTCCACACCCTGGCACAGACCCTGACCGCCTGAAGGCCGGCAGGTCCCCGCTGCACCTACACCTCTGAGCAGGAGCTCAGCGAGTGACAGCCACAGCCCTGTGCTGGCTCACTGCAGCCCTGAGCAAAACTCACCCCAAGGGCTGGGAGATCCTCTGGAATTTGTTGAATTTTGCAAGTTAACAAATAAGCAAAGAAAACAATGGAAAATAGAAGAGAAAATTTTAAAAAAATTAGCAGAGCCAAGAGACCACCACAAAAATACATTTAGCTCCATTCTCACTGCTTAGTTCTCAAAAGAGTGCTGCCAGCGTTCACAATCCAGCTCCAAGTCTGGCAACAACTCTGGGAAACCCGAAGGTTCCTGCTCTGCACTGGTGGCTGGTGGCTGCCCATGGCCAGCCCTCCACACACAGACAGCCCACTGACCCTGTGATCTCCAGAAAACGCTTGAATGCACAACCCATGGGAGTCTTTAACACTCGAAAACCAGAAGGCAAACAAAAAAAAGAACATTTCTTTCTAAATCTCATTAAGTCGCAGAGGATGATTATGATTTTCTAATGTGCAAAGGTGATAACATTGCTTGGAGTTCTAGTTCAATTAATTATTTTATGGGAATAAACATACCAGGAGACGCTAAATGCAAACCATAAAGGTTCCTTGGTATGTGTCAGGCTCACAGCTGCTCAGCCTTTGCTACAATGCCACAGAAGAGCCTAATTCTCACAGTAAGCACCCTAAAAAAAAGTCAAGCAACAGTCTTTGCACAAATCAGGATGCAGCAAACCCTGACAGACGCTGGTTCCTACAGCCAAGTGTCCGAGATGGCCAGAAGTAGCAACTGTTGCTGCTGTTAATTAAATGCATGTTGTGCTACCACACAGCCAGGGGAGAAAACCAGACCTGGCATGGAGCATCCACCCGAGTCCCCTGAGCTGAGAAGGGGCTGAAGTTAAGACACGTCACCATAAATCTCTTGACATTATTTTTTCTGATGAGAACTCAGGGTCACATGCCTGGAACACTTGTGTCTTCTACGGGAGAAAAATAATTCAGTTTATCTTTTTAACGGCCAATTTTCTGGGTTCCACCCCAGTAAGCTACAGGTAAACAAGTCACAGACAACTGAAACCTAAGAATTTCCAGAGGCATGGGATTGGACCCTGCCCAGCTGAATGCCACAGACACACAACTACATCTCATACTCCACTACTCCTGTGAAACCTCAGTGAGTCTCAGGATACCTTCCTGAGCAGACTGAATTTGATCCCAGTCTCCCTTCCCTTGCCCCTTAACATCCATCCCAACTTGCTATTACCAAGATGAAATCTAAGAACATGACTAGAAAACACCCTCTCCCACACCTGAAAAGGAAAAAAAAAACTATTAGGGAAAACCAAAGCTGATATTTTCTCCTGGGTGTAACACACCATGTGCACTGCTAAGACACAGCACCCTAAAGCGGGCACCAGGAGTCACAGGAAAGAGAAAAATGTAAAGTCAGGGCTAAAACATCTGGAGAAACCTTTCTATCCTTACACAGACCAACCTCTCTTCTCCAAGCAAAGAACTTCCATCCCCACCATGACCCGAGACACATGGATGCATGATGCAAGATGGGGAATAACAAGTTACAACTACAAAGCCCTGCTGAAACTTTAAAAAGGCATCACACTACACACACTCTTCTAGCTTAAACCCTTAATTAAAGAGACTGTTCTTTACAATGCTGGAGCTGCTCCAACTCCCATTGTTAAATTTAAAATAAAACCCTGCAACCCCACAGCATCTGTAAGACATTAGAACATTCAATTCTGACTTCTTTATTCAGCTTTAAGACATCATTTAATAATTTTTCCTCTCAAACCCCAAATCTAAGGATTTAAAGGAAATAAGCACCAGCACCTCTTACAGGATGCCTTTTTTTTTTTTTTTAAATGAACTTTCTGCAATAATATCCTTGACCTTTAACAATTCCTAATTGATTAAGTGTGTGCTCGATCATGTACAGCCTCTAGACAGACTGCACGACCAGGGCAGGCTCAGCCCTGGGTGTCAGGATGAAGCAGACCCTGCAGCATGGAAGCCAGCTCCACAAACAATCCATTCATGCACAGGAACAAAACAAGAAGACTTATTTGACCACAGAAAATCACTGTGAGCACAAGAAAAATACATCAGAAAATCGATTTTGACCATTGCTAATAAAGCTGGAGACACAAGCCAGAACCTCATTGTTATAACCTCCGTTTTTCCAAGGTGGGTGGTTTGCTTCTGCTCTCCCAGGAAAAGGAGCCACTTGCAGCCACTTACAGCTCCTCTACCACCACTCAGGTAGTTCCCACGGCCTGGAAAGCACAGGTCCAGCCATGGCAAGGGATCCAGACATGATGACTTTCCTGATGGAACCAGGAGGAGAACTTGGGCTGAATGCCAGTCCCTGCAAAGTCATGAGGAGCCTCCATTCACCCATTCACTGCAGGAGGAGCAGGATTTCAAGCCAAGTCTCTGGGAATATCACCCATTAGCAACCTCTGAAAACACGCTGGCAGGCCGTGACAAACATCCATGTTTCCATAAAGCCCATACAACTTCAACAACACTGCTGGTATTCCTCCCGTAACTACTTTCACAGCCACTGAAACATTCTGGGCAGAAGAGGAGATCACCCAAAGATCACCAAATTAGAGTGCAATCATGAAGCAATGACTGCAAAAGGTCTCCCCTGCAACAGAGGTGTGTAAGAAGGTGACCTAGGGGAAAGAAGGCATGTCCATGAGGTGTGAGGGTGTCCCCAGCAAGCACGGCACAGGTGTGTGGCTGGATTCTGCTCTGCCCAATGTGCACCTCCTCCTCACGATCCCAGGCAGAGGTACCGGATCAGGGACTGGTTCCCACCAGCAAACAGCCAGCCTACACACCAGTCACCTGCAGGTGATAACATCTTACTTGGGCCACGTTCACAGGCACTCCTGCCTGCCTGCTCACAGCAACTCTGCTGCACCGAAAACATGAAAAGGGCAGAGAGGTTTGCAGAAAATCCCGGTAAGTTATCTCCAGCAGTTCCCACAGCTAATTAAACTGTTCAGTCACGCATGCTTTAAAGTCCATGAAATTAAAAAAAAAAAAAAAAAGAAAAAATCACAAAAAGAAATACAAAAGCCAGACAATTAGTGGAAGCAGGCTTGTTTGATCAACTCTCTCCCACCTGCCAAACCATTCTGTGGCCGCAGTAGCAAATCTTTCAGGCAACTCAGCCCTGTGTGCTGATCCTACCTCAGAGTTCCCAGCTTTTTACACCCACAGCTGCACAGCCAGGGCTTAAACCATCCTCCTGCTCCATGAGCCAGAGCTTCCAGAAACACACCCAGCCCAAGTACAGTTCCACACTGGGCACACCTGCCTCTACTTGCAGAGCCTGCAGCAGAGAAAAAGCTTTGCAAGGGCCAAGCCGCATCCTTCGGAACAGGCTCGACGTCAGAAAATTCTGTTAACGCAGGCAAAACAAGGAAGCACGTGGCACGTACGTAGGAGCCAAAGGATGTTGGATGAGGAACACAAAGAAGGGAGGAGGTGGAAAAAGATGGCTCATTCAAGGATCTGTGCAAAAGCTGGCACTGCCAGGCAGTGCCTCTCCAGCTGGATCAAGAGGTCCAGTAGCAGAGTGCATCCTATGAATAGCATAAAAAGGGGAGGAAAAAAAATCCAGCAAAGGGGAGTAGGGAAAGTATTTCATCACATTTTTTAGAGAAATGAAGTAGAAGGGAATAAAAATCAAATCAAGAATCTGATCCCAAGCCATGCCATACCAGTAAGAGTCTTCTCTAATTGTTTTTCTGAGTTCTGCACTGTGTCTCACCAAAGACACTGCCTAGGTTATTTAAAAAAAAAAAAATTTAAGCACCAAAAACTAGACCTCTGAAAGGTATACCACTACAGCATGCAGGACCCTGAA